TGCTCTCACCTCTACAGTCAGGTGCTCCATCCATTTAACACCCGATAAACTAATTACCCAACCAGGTAATTTTTGCGCTAAGAGTACCTGGTCTAAATTGATTCCATTGACTTGCAGCGTTCATTTGACATATATTTTAAACATACTCTTACATGTAATTAAGTACCATGTATGTCTTGTATACACACACACACACACACACACACAAAATATATCTTTTGTGAACAAACATCAACATGGGTTCAGGGAAGGAAAATCATGCCTAACTGGAATTCTATGATAAAATAACAAGAATAAGGCAGGACATGGAAGGATGGGCAGACTGCATATTTCTGGACAGCCAAAAAGCCTTTGATATAGTACTACACATGAGACTGCTATTCAAACTTGAGAGGCAGGCAGGAGCAAGCGGAAAGGCCCTAGCATGAGGAAGGAACTACTCTAGTTTTAAAGCAGCTTTCAAATAAGGCTTACCATGATCTATGGAGGTGGGACAGTTCTCAGCCTACTAACAGGAGTAGGAAGTTGTCTCCTCCTGTATCCACCTATGTAACACACACAAAAATGGCTTCTAGAGTTCGAAATCAACAAGTGTAAGGTAATAAAGACGGAGAAAGGGAAGCAAAAACGAGAATGAGTCTGCAACATAAAGGGAAACTTGCTACAGGAATCAGAAAGATAAAAAATATTTAATTTCACTGATGACATGAAAGCCAAGCAAAAAAATAGAGCATCGGCAGAATATTTGGAAGTTGGTTAGTCATTAGAATGATATTTTACATTTTTAATGGGGGCTGTTTCAAGGCAAACCTCATATTGTATTGAGGGAGCCGGTCGGCCGAGCGGACAGCACGCTGGACTTGTTATCCTGTGGTCCCGGGTTCGATCCCGGGCGCCGGCGAGAAACAATGGGCAGAGTTTCTTTCACCCTATGCCCCTGTTACCTAGCAGTAAAATGTTACCTGGGTGTTAGTCAGCTGTCACGGGCTGCTTCCTGGGGGTGGAGGTCTGGTCGAGGACCGGGCCGCGGGGACACTAAAGCCCCGAAATCATCTCAAAATAACCTCAAAAAATAAGGTTAATGCTCCACTATGCAGCACAGGCAGGGACTCTGCACCTCATGGATTACAAAACTAAACTTGATAAAGTACTGAAGTTTGAAATCAGACTAAGACACTACGTGAAATAAGAGGACTAAGCAACGAGGACAAAATAATATCAGTCTCATATCCTTCATTAAAGAAAAGCAGGGACATGGTCAGTGCATACAAGATACTCATGGGAATAGAAAAGGTGGACAAGGACCTATTTTTTAAAGTAAAAGAAAATTTGAAATAACAGGTGGAATCTGGAAATGCAAATTAGTAGTAAAATGTAAGGAAATACTCGTACTTTGTACGAATTGTCAACAAGTGGAATGCTCTAAAGACGAAGTCGTGGAAGAAAGTCGTGCAACACAGAACTCTAACGTCAGTAAACGTAACAAAAGGAACATATTAAAAGAAAGTTAACAGGCGGGTCATAAAGTGCTATACCACTTTCCCTGTAGTCACCGTAAGATAAGTCCTGTTAGGTGAGCACAACCCGTACATAGCGACAATAAACAGAGGAGGAACGGAGAAGCTTCAGGCCAGAGTAACGTGAATCTTAGAAGAAATCACAATATTAGACACCAATGAATTCACGAACTATGTGACAGAAGCCAACATAATTAAGAACAATAGTGACCTGACAGCTGGGTGGACAGCGCTTCGGATTTGTTGTCCTGTGATCCCGGGTTCGATCCCAGGCGCCGGTGAGAAACAATGGGCAGAGTTTCTTTCACCCTATGCCCCTGTTACCTAGCAGTAAAATAGGTACCTGGGTGTTAGTCAGCTGTCACGGGCTGCTTCCTGGGGGTGGAGGCCTGGTCGAGGACCGGGTCGCGGGGACACTAAAGCCCCGAAATCATCTTAAGATATATCTTGCTGTGTTGAACAACTTGAGAAGACAGGGGAGTAAAACCACGAAATTATCTTATTAGAAGAGAGGAGAATGCAAAAGTAAGAGAATTCCAGGCGAAGCGTTCGATGCTGATATAAACTAAAAACTAAACAAACGTATTCATTTCAGTCCAAAAAAATAAAGGGCGAAGCTGACGATTAAACCAGGGGAAACAAGCCACAAACTCACCCAAACTCAATGGCAACCAACCCAACACAAAATGTTACTGAACAAAGGGGAGTTAGAAAATAAAGAACACACTTAACAAAGCAGGACAGCTGCCGCTCCCGCTTGAGCACCATACGCCCAACCACTTGGGCTGGACGGTAGAGCGACGGTCTCGCTTCATGCAGGTCGGCGTTCAATCCCCGACCGTCCAAGAGGTTGGGCGCCATTCCTTCCCCCCATCCCATCCCAAATCCTTATCCTGACCCCTTCCCAGTGCTATATAGTCGCAATGGCTTGGTGCTTTCCCCCTGATAGTTCCCATCCCTTGAGCACCGTACTCTTAAACAAAACACAGTACAGGAGTTATATTAATCTAGCATAGTTAGAATGTTTAGACTTTTAATGAACACATTTAATTTCCGGCAACAGCACTATATACACAGCTTACACTCGAGTTTCTAAGACTCACCACCAATGACTACCTCTGCATCTTCCCATTTACTCTTCCTATTCGCTCTCCCCATTTCCTCGCCCCATAAGCACAAATTGGTAAATAACATTCCACAAACTCCTTTCAACATTAAGGCCAGGAAACAAAGGTACTCTTTGCGTCCCAACCAACTCCTGGATGTTTACGCAAGCCGGAAACCAGAGTACAAAAAAGCCTCCACCAATTCTGACCTTTCCAGGCGAATTTTTATAAAATAATATACACCGATATATGTGCCTCGATGCGTTAAAATACAAGTTAATTGGGCGGTAATTGTGAATCAAAAGCACATTACAGATGTCACGCAGTTTAATAATTTGTTTCCATTAGCGCGTACAAAATAATTACAAAGATCACAGTTCTTTTTAAAGCAGATGATAAAGTTAGGAATAGTGTTGTAGCACTTATTTCTCTCTTTCTCTCTCAGGTATACTGAACAGGGCCAGGGTTTATCAAGCCTCTATACGACCACTTGTGAAACCTCTTCATCTTTCCTGCATCACGGCGGCTTTGTTTACAATTGTTAAACACTTTACGAGCTTGGAAACGTCACAAGCCAAGGTTATTGTTGTTATAAACAACCACGTAATGCTTTGGAGCTCATAATTGTCTTAATATATATTAATAAAGCTGCTGTGATTGAAGGAAGATATACAGGTTTCGTAAGCTGTTGCTTGATGAATACTGACCCTTACAACGTACACAATACATAGTGCTAACCTAACAAGAAATTCACGAACCCAAACCACTCACCCTAACCTAACCTAACCTACCGATAGTTAGAAAACGTGGAAGTTTGCGTGTCGCAAGTTTTCATAGTACTCTGTAATTTGTGCGTTGGGGACCATAGCATACACAAATGAGACGTATTAGTCGAGAGGCCGCGTTGGTCCACTAACGTCATGTTGAGTTATGCGTTACCTATGAGTTAACACATCTATAGTGAGTCTTTCACAGGACTCACTATAGACTCAGGCTTTCATAGTCTGTGACACAGGACTGTGGTGAGTTTTAGTCTGTGACACAGGACTCAGGCGAGGGGGTCCATTAGTCTGTGACACAGGACTGTGGTGAGTTTTAGTCTGTGACACAGGACTCAGGCGAGGGGGTCCATTAGTCTGTGACACAGGACTCAGGCGAGGGGGGTCCATTAGTCTGTGACACAGGACTATGGTGAGTTTTAGTCTATGTCACAGGACTCAAGCGAGGGGGTCCATTAGTCTGTGACACAGGACTCAGACGAGGGGGTCCAGTAGATACGACAGTTCAAGTCGCATGTCAAGTCGTATCACTTTGGCATTGACCGAGAGACCAACATGGTCTCGCGTTTCGTAATAACCTATTACATTTTCAAAGACTTTTAGTTTACACACACACACAACTATAACCTGCAAACACTAAACAGAGTTCTTACTACGCTATAGTGGGTCTCTTGAGGTGACCGCAGGTACAGTCTTCACTGACCGAGACCAATTGCCTCGTTACCTGGTTGATGCTGGACATTCTCACTAATGACACCACGTGGACACGCTTATCACGATTCCCATTTTTGTTTTCAATTTTCTTCCGACAGGGATAGATGAGTTACTTGTCTGTCCCGCCCCTTCCATCCCTACCTGTCCCATAATCCCACCTCCACTTTCCAGTCCTCTATGTCCCATCCTCCTGCAGAATAAACGAAACGGAGAATGAGAGGAAAAAGAGAATTGGAGAGAATGAGAGTTTGGAGGTAAAGGAATGGATCAAGAGGGGGAATGGAAAAGAAGATTAAAGGGAGGGGAGAAGAGGTAGAGGAAGAGGGGTAGGGACGTAGCTAAATGACGATAAAGGGGTTAAATGTAAGAGGAAAGAATGATAAAGGATAAAGAGTGGTGAAGAAGGGCTGCTGCTATCCATCATCTGTATATAGACTCCTGGAGTTATCTTTCAAACCTGTTATCTCTAGCAATGATAACATAATCATAAACAATCTGTTCCCCCCGAGTAACATTCAGTGAGTGCCCTTCACTCTGGATATCATTAATTACATTTCAGTCAAGCACATGTTAACTCGTCAGATTTACAGGTAAGTGTAGAACACAATACCTTGCGGTTACCTTGAGATAACTCCGAGGTTCAACGTCCCCGCGGCCCGGTCCTCGACCAGGGCTCCTCACAATATGTCAACAATCGTTGACATATTTCCCAAAATGTATCCGATATAACTATGAGTTGAGTCACTGATAGGAAATAGGATTATGGCACGGATCAAGCTGTACCCGTGGCATTTAAAGACATCTAGTTGACAAAAATACGACCACACTTACATCCACAACTCACTAAGGCATAAAACAGTAAATAGACGGGGGGTGGGGATGTCTTACGGGCTATTCATGCCCGTGCCACCTTTTGGGTTGCGCCTGGCTGTCGCCTGTTCTGAGAGATCAGGACATGCTGGCGCCTGTTGGGAGAGATCAGGACATGCTGGCGCCTGTTGGGAGAGATCAGGACATGCTGGCGCCTGTTGGGAGAGATCAGGACATGCTGGCGCCTGTTGGGAGAGATCAGGACATGCTGGCGCCTGTTGGGAGAGATCAGGACATGCTGGCGCCTGTTGGGAGAGATCAGGACATGCTGGCGCCTGTTGGGAGAGATCAGGACATGCTGGCGCCTGTTGGGAGAGATCAGGACATGCTGGCGCCTGTTGGGAGAAATCAGGACATGCTGGCGCCTGTTGGGAGAGATCAGGACATGCTGGCGCCTGTTGGGAGAGATCAGGACATGCTGGCGCCTGTTGGGAGAGATCAGGACATGCTGTCGCCTGTTCTGAGAGATCAGGACATGCTGGCGCCTGTTGGGAGAGATCAGGACATGCTGTCGCCTGTTCTGAGAGATCAGGACATGCTGGCGCCTGTTGGGAGAGATCAGGACATGCTGGCGCCTGTTGGGAGAGATCAGGACATGCTGGCGCCTGTTGGGAGAGATCAGGACATGCTGGCGCCTGTTGGGAGAGATCAGGACATGCTGGCGCCTGTTGGGAGAGATCAGGACATGCTGGCGCCTGTTGGGAGAGATCAGGACATGCTGGCGCCTGTTGGGAGAGATCAGGACATGCTGGCGCCTGTTGGGAGAGATCAGGACATGCTGGCGCCTGTTGGGAGAGATCAGGACATGCTGGCGCCTGTTGGGAGAGATCAGGACATGCTGGCGCCTGTTGGGAGAGATCAGGACATGCTGGCGCCTGTTCTGAGAGATCAGGACATGCTGGCGCCTGTTGGGAGAGATCAGGACATGCTGGCGCCTGTTGGGAGAGATCAGGACATGCTGGCGCCTGTTGGGAGAGATCAGGACATGCTGGCGCCTGTTGGGAGAGATCAGGACATGCTGGCGCCTGTTCTGAGAGATCAGGACATGCTGGCGCCTGTGGCCCGCTATAGTTAGCAGGCCGCAGTGTGACTGGACACTGCGGACACTTCATGGCGGTCGTTAAATGTTGACCACAAGAAATGAACTTTTGACGATCGAACTTCCACTGTCTGGCGACAGACTCTCACGTCCCAGTTTTCTCTGTCGTGCTACACTCCACTCTGTATATAAATTTATAAATATAAGCCTGTTATGGTGTTATACTCCCTCTTCCTCCACCCTCACATTCCACCTTCATACACAATATTGTTTTCCAATCCCTCTTTACCCGATTCCCTTGCTCTTCATCCCTACCCTTAAGCCTTCATCTCTGCTACTGCTTGGACCTTACCCCTTAGCTCTTTATCCCTCCTCCTCTTCCTTCTACTCCCACGGACGTCAACGCCAGAGACGTAGCCACGACGTCAACATCAGACGCATCATCAGGGTGTCATTCCCCAAGACTCAGATCGTCTTCAGGATTTTAGAACAAGGTGCCGTCAGAATGCTATCATCATATGGAACATGGATCTCTCCTGGGCAAGGAATCGCCAAGTATTAACGCAACCACTTACGAAATCTATATATCTTATCCTGAATCATGGCAGCTTTGCTTACATTTATTAAGCTATTTATGAACTCCGAAGTACTCGAAGGTTATCTAAAACAACAATCTTGGGTTGTGAAGCTCCATGTGATAACAAGAGACTCGAGTGACTGTCGGGAAAGGAATTAGGTAGAGAGCAAAGTTTCCTGTGTTATATATTCAACAAGTTGGCGATGCAGCCGCCACGCTTTGGGAATTAATATATGCGTTAGGTCTGCTGCCCATGTAACAGGTTGGCTGTTTCCTGGAGTGCTTCGGGGTTTCCAAGCACCCTGCGCGAGGCGTCTGGGATTGGCTGTGTTAGGGCGGGAACATCTGGGATTGGCTGCGTCCGGGCGGGAACATCTGGGATTGGCTGCGTCCGGGCGGGAACATCTGGGATTGGCTGCGTCCGGGCGGGAACATCTGGGATTGGCTGCGTCCGGGCGGGAACATCTGGGATTGGCTGCGTCCGGGCGGGAACATCTGGGATTGGCTGTGTTAGGGCGGGAACATCTGGGATTGGCTGCGTCCGGGCGGGAACATCTGGGATTGGCTGCGTCCGGGCGGGAACATCTGGGATTGGCTGTGTTAGGGCGGGAACATCTGGGATTGGCTGCGTCCGGGCGGGAACATCTGGGATTGGCTGCGTCCGGGCGGGAACATCTGGGATTGGCTGCGTCCGGGCGGGAACATCTGGGATTGGCTGTGTTAGGGCGGGAACATCTGGGATTGGCTGTGTTAGGGCGGGAACATCTGGGATTGGCTGCGTCCGGGCGGGAACATCTGGGATTGGCTGCGTTCGGGCGGGAACATCTGTGATTGGCTGCATTCGGGAGGGAACTTCTGTGATTGGCTGCGTTCGGGCGGGAACATCTGGGATTGGCTGCATTCGGGAGGGAACTTCTGTGATTGGCTGCGTTCGGGCGGGAACATCTTGGATTGGCTTCGTCAGGGAAGGAACTCCTGGGAATGATTGTTTTAAGGCGGAAACATCTGGAAATGGGTGTGGCAAGGCAAGAGCTTTTAGTCTGACACCAAAGTTAATAGTCACATGGGGCTACATTGTCAAACATTAAGGTTAACTTTGCCAAAATTACCAATCAGAAGAGTATGATCTCTTGAGAATTCGTAATTAGGGCCATTAATCTAATTTTGGTGAGAGGCTAATAGTGTTTTATGCCTTCTGCCATGTGTCATTATATGTCAGCCTTTTACTTGTTGTTGTTTAACATTCACTACCTGGAACAAAAAGTTCCAAGTAGCACGGGCTATGGTGAGCCCGTAGTGGACTGTTGCCTTTTATTCTCACAATCGCCATCTTGTTCTTTTCTTCCTCTTCCTATTCCTCCTCTTCCTCTCTTCCTCATCTTCCTATCTTCCTCCTGCTCCTATCTTCCTCCTCCTTCTATCTTCCTCCTACTTCCCCTCTTTCTCCTTTTCCCCCTCCTTCTCCCCCTCCTTCTCCTTGTCCTCCTCCTTCTTTACCGTTCCCGTAGGAAAGGAATCAAGTAAAGAGATTCCCTAATAAACTTGCCTATGTTGTGACTAATAAAGCAAACTTATTCCGTCTGCCTCTCTGAGATCTCATTAAAACATCTGAGTGCCTGTCTCAGGGCTTCGTGCACTGCCAATTTAATCTCCCAGCTACACATCTGACTTATTAGGAGCTAATTACTCTCTAGCATATATTGCCTTCGTTATGGGATACACTTACGCATATAACACCATTCTGGATCACCCACAAAAATATAGCGAAAGGTTATTAAACCAGGACATGCGTATGATGTGTGTGGTATTATACCGGTATAGTGGCATGATTCTTCCTGAACGGGGGTATGTGATAAACTCACATATACGGAGAGCCTTTAAACATTGTTCTGACTGGCATAACATACATAAAGACTTGGACAGAAGCCTTTTAAGTATTAATAAACAAAAGATATACAAATAGAGAAGTCACCCACATGAGAAGATATTTAGAAAAATGGTATAACAGAGGTTAGGTTAGGTTATCTTGAGATGATTTAGGGGCTTTTTAGTGTCCCCGCGGCCCGGTCCTCGACCAGGCCTCCACCCCCAGGAAGCAGCCCGTGACAGCTGACTAACACCCAGGTACCTATTTTACTGCTCCAGAGAACAATAACCACAACATATATGTTCAATCAATGACAGGTTATGCATTTTAAATAAGCCAAATCCTTATTTTACCTCTAAAAAGCTGGGATACGATGAATAGAAATAATTTGTCTGTAGTTGAGAGGAAGGAAACGTGAGTTGAAAGGCGTGGTTGAGAGCAGGTGTGGTGTGGCGCCTCCATCAGTTACCCCTCTCCAAGATCGCTGGTCTGAGCAGAAAATGGGGTTTCAAATATGAATTCTTAAAATGCTTACTCTCTAAATTTTAAGTGTTTTATTGTAGATTCTGATATAAATGAGATCGTGCCAATTTTGTGAGCAAGTTAATTACGGACTGATCTTCAGTTTTGGAGTTTAAATTGGTTGTATTCACCTAGTATTTGCCCGAAACGCATTGCGTAATAGTGGCTTTAGGCATTGTATGTACTAGCTCTATCTATATATCAATCCTTTAATGTAACATCACTTGTATGTATATACCTTACCTGAATAAACATCTGAATCTGAATCTAGTTGTATTCACCTAGTTCTGCTTGTGGGGGTTGAGCTTTGTTTTTCGACCAGCCTCTCAACTGTAAATCAACTGTCACTTACTACTAAAAAAAAATTTCCACACACACACAGGGAGCAGCCCGTAACAGCTGTCTAACTCCCAGGTACCTATTTACTGCTAGGTAACAAGAGGCCTCAGGCTGAAAGAAATTTTGCCCATTTGTTTCTGCCTGGTCCGGGAATTGAACCTGGGCCACAGAATTACGAGTCCTGCGCGCTGTCTGCTCAGCTACCAGACCCCCAGGTTGTATATTGAATGTGAAGTTATGCTTCACTAGTGATTTATTAGTCAAGTTTATTGTGTATTGAATGTGAACTTGTTTACGTTACCCAAGATTTATAGGCAAAGTTAATTTGTACATTAATGGTAAGAAAGAGAACTTGGGGATTTATGGTGATAATGTCGCGTCGCCGCTACTCTTTACTACTTACCACTTTCTGTAAGAAACTTTACTACTTTCTGTAAGAAACTTTACTACTTTCTGTAAGAAACTTTACTACTTTATGTAAGAAACTTTACTACTTTATGTAAGAAACTTTACCACTTTCTGTAAGAAACTTTACCACTTTCTGTAAGAAACTTTACCACTTTCTGTAAGAAACTTTACTACTTTCTGTAAGAAACTTTACCACTTTCTGTAAGAAACTTAACTACTTTCTGTAAGAAACTTTACCACTTTCTGTAAGAAACTTTACCACTTTCTGTAAGAAACTTTACCACTTTCTGTAAGAAACTTAACTACTTTCTGTAAGTGATAAACCACAATGGGTTTTGCTCGTTTATGCATATTTGCCCCAATTTAATATATAATATTAAATATGAACAACTGCAGAACGCATATTTCTGGACACATTTAATATAACACAGCAGACTCTGGCTGCTGGGCCCCGCCTACTCCACCACATAAACGGAATATTCAACGACAAAATGTTTGACAAACAGACACCTATTATACACTGACCAGTGGAAAAAAAAACCGTACTTTGAGTGCACACTTTAAAATACTTTTTTGTTTATTTAGCTCAATGAAAAATGCTCTAAATTTACGACACTGAATCATTTAATTTTGGAAACTGGAGACTAAAAGGGTAAAACATTGGCTGTTATCACTACCTGGCTACCAGCGGGGTCTCGTAGCCCAGTTGGCTTCGTTCTACACTCATAATCAGGGATCCTGGTTTCGAAGGCAGAGCGGAACAGAAATGATTAGCATGTTTCTTTTTCCCTTTAATGTCTCTGTTCACCTAGCAGTATGTGAACTGTTTAGCCTGGAGTGACTGTTGAGGGTGGAGTGACTGTGGAGGCTGGAGTCCCTGGTCCCCAACCGTCTCCACTTCTCCACACTTGGTACCAGAAATTTACCATTTCATACTCTCCAAAATAAGTCTCTAAATCAACTCAAACACTTTTGGTTGCAAAATGAAATTTAAAGTTATTTCATTGTTGTTCGTAAGATTGTCTCTTATACACAGCAGTTTCTTATAAAAGTAGGAAAGTCAAAATTAAATTTCCAGTGTATATGTGCTAATCAGCACTAATTAGTCTAACAAAAACACAACGTACCTGTATTGCCAGATATCAAACTACACGTAGGTGGAGCTACATAAGACACCATTTCAGTGAAGGATGACCAGGTTATCATACACTTCAACGATAAAATGGCTCCGATAAGTCAGGGTAGAGGTGGGTGGGGTGGCCGTGTGTTCCTTGACTGTCAGTGAGTATTTGATACCATCCTCAATACAAAGATCCTGTGTAAACTTGAAAACAAACCCGGCGTAATTGGAAGAGTGAAAAGAGAACTAGATAACCATCAGAGATTCATGCATCAGCCTGCGAGCAGTTGCTTCTAATAACCTGGTTGACCAGGCTATTACTGGCTTGATCAGAAACCGGACAGCGGGGACATTGATCCCGGAACGAGCAGAAGGTAACACAAGGTATGAAGATAGGTAAAAAGGATACCTCTCTAGCAGGAAACTGAGAGTAACTGAGAAGTGTAATGAGAGTAGCGAGACCCCACAGGACAAGGAGGGAGGGAGGAGGACTACCATACTCATCCCAACTAGGCCTATTCAATTCTTGATATATGTAAATAACTTGTACATAAATTCGACTCTACCATTAAACACCAACGAGGTTCAGTGAAGGAAATCTTGCCTAACGTATGCAGCATATTCAAAACTGACATATGTTCGAAGACTTTTGAATTGCTCAATCAATATAGCTGGAAAGACGGGGCTAAGGAGCTATAGCTCCATCCTGCAAGCGCTTCCAGTTGAACACATCTCAGGGAGTACAGGCACACCAGCACACATATACACGGGCTCACATACACGGGCTCACATACACGGGCTCACATACACGGTGGACACTGAGTACCCAAATGAGCCACAGGGACGTTAGAAAGAACTTTTTCAGTGTCAGAGTAGTTAACAGATGGAATGCATTAGGCAGTGATGTGGTGGAGGCTGACTCCATACACAGTTTCAAATGTAGATATGATAGAACCCAGTAGGCTCAGGAACCTGTACACCAGTTGATTGACAGTTGAGAGGCGGGACCAAAGAGCCAGAGCTCAACCCCCCAAAGCTCAACTAGGTGAATACAACTAGGTGAGTACACGTGCTCACATACATACATACATACATACACATACATACATACATACATACATACATACATACATACATACATACATACATACATACATACATACATACATAAACGCGAGCGCTCACTTCCTGCCATGGCAATGTAAAGATTAAATTTAATTATGCAGAGAGCGAGGGCAAGATGCAACCGTGAAGCAATCAGTGCCAAGACTCCCGACGACAACCAGAGAAGATATAGTTCTGTGTTGAGTAAATCATCTTGCCTCTCCTCTTCCTTCCTCCTCTTCTTGAACCCTTATCTCGGGTTGTGAGAGGCCGGGTTGTGAGAGGCCGGGTTGTGAGAGCCCGGGTTGTGAGAGGACGGGTTGTGAGAGGACGGGTTGAGAGAGGACGGGTTGAGAGAGGACGGGTTGACATGTGAACGATAATTTTTTTGTTGGATAATTATTTCGACAAGCAGTCGCCCCCACAGAGATTAGTTTAAACCTACAGGATTAATTAGTAAAATAACCTGTTAACGTCTTCCATCGGCCGTGTAATGTGGTGAACATTAGTTCTTTTGTTCTCAGTCTGGTGAATGACTTTA